ATGATTCCTGAAACAGCTTTCTCATTGTTTCAGATACCTAGGCACTCCAGGTAGAAGACCTATCAGTCGAATGTTGGCTGCAAAACAGGCATGGAAGCACTGATTGCAGACCCTGTTGTCAAACTCTTTAACAGGAATCCCCTTCCATGTTTTCAGTTGTTTTATCCAACATTCAGGGAGTTCCTGCCATGTGCCAAGCACTGTGATTGGGATCTAGCAGTGAATAAAACAAGATATACTGTCCTTTCCTTCATGGATCTTACAAATATAGGTTAATTTACCTCTCAATTGTTTCCTGATAGATACCAACTAGCCAACAGGCCTGGCACAGAGGAGGTAGTCAATGTTGGAATGAACAGGGATATTTACCTGAAAACTGCACATGCAGACTGTCACCTGCCACTATTTCCTCTCTTCAGATGGGTGAAGGATGCCCTACTTTCAAGTCATCCTAAAAAGGAAGACAAGCAAACTTAGTGATCTAGTACACAGAACGGTGAATAAATAGCAATGCATTGTATATATATATATTTTTTGAGATAGGGTCTCACTCTGTCCAGGCTGGAGTGCAGTGGCATGACCATGGTTCACTGTAGTTTCAATCTCCTGGGTCAAGTGATCCTCCCAGCTTAGCCTCCCAAGCAGCTGGGACTACAGATGCATGCCAACACACCCACCTAATTTTTTTTTTGTTTTTTATATTCCCGATGAATTTGAATGTTTGGCACCCCGGTCTAAAACAACAGCTCCTAAGTACCCTGATCTGGACAGATGGAAACAGAATGCTGCTTGCCATTTATGATTTATCCTCATTTCTACAGCCTCAGGAATTATTTTATTTACCATTATTTGCCTTTTCCCTGCCTAGAGTACTATAAAGCTAACCATCCCCCAAGCCCTACAGATATCACTAGCCTTAAGACCCCATATGTAAAAGGCTATTCACAGTTGAGGCATTCACACAAAGCACTCATATTTAGTTGAGAGAATCCTATTAAGGGAATGCCAACTGATCTAACAAAACAAGCTTTGATAAACAACTCCCCCGCCCCCCAACATCCTCCCCAGTTCCTCCTGTGGAAACTAGGATGTCACTTTTCATAGCAACTGAGGGTCATCTCTTCTCAAAAGAACCTCTTCTCAAAAAATTAGCATTCCAGGCCAGGCATGGTGCAGTGGCTCATGCCTGTAACCCCAGCACTTTAGGAGGCAGGAGGATCACTTGAGCCCAGGAGTTCGAGACCAGCCTGGACAACATGGTGAAATCCCGTCTCTACTAAAGCCTGGGCAACATAATGAGACTTTGTCTCTACAACTTAAAAAAACAAACAAACAAAAAATTAGCTGGTTGTGGTGGCACACACCTATCATCCCAACCACTTGGGAAAAAGCATTCCAAAACAAAATTACTACAAAGGGAACTCAATAATGGGGCAACAATTATAAAAGGAACTCACTTCAATGGGGCAACAACTATTCATTTCTGAAAATCAGTAAGCAACTAAAGCGAATATACTGTCAGCCCAAAGGAGAAATTAGTGTGGTTGTAGTTGTTCAGTTCCCAGAGCCCCCTCAATCGATATTTTAATATTTTATTAAAGAGCTAGAGAATGCCCATAATTTTAAAGTGAATTCCCATCAATGTTTTCCTAATAGGGAATCCCATAGATAACTATGGTTGTAAAATCCTCTACAAAGGGAATCATGACTAGCTTTTTTTTTTTTTTTTTTTTTTTGAGATGGAGTCTCGCTGTGTCTCCCAGGCTGGAGTGCAGTGGCGTGATCTCGGCTCACTGCAAGCTCCGCCTCCCGAGTTCATGCCATTCTCCCGCCTCAGCCTCCCGAGTAGCTGAGACTACAGGCGCCCGCCACCATGCCCGGCTAGTTTTTTGTATTTTTAGTAGAGACGGGGTTTCACCGTGTTAGCCAGGATAGTCTCGATCTCCTGACCTCATGATCCACCCGCCTCGGCCTCCCAAAGTGCTGGGATTACAGGCTTGAGCCACCGCGCCCGGCCATGACTAGCTTTTATGGTGGCTAGTGGGAGCTACGCACTTTAATTTCAGCGAAATTAGCAAAAATCCCATTGTATCTGGCCCCCTTTGAGCACTTAGTAGGCACTAAAAATAAAGGTGTGACTTTTCCATCTATTTTTACCAACCCCCTCTTCCCATTAGCTTTGTTTTATTTCCAAGGTATGATTCAAGTAACTTCTTGCTACCCAAACCTGTTGGACCAGAACTATTCAGGAAGGTCTGGATTTATTCTCTCTGCAAAAAGTCATGCTCTCACAGATTAAACCTTAATGCAAGCTTTTCCAACCCACAGCCCAACACAAATTGGTAAACTTTCTTAACACATTATGAGGGTGGTTTTTTTTGCAATATTTTTTAAATTTAGCTATCAGTTATCGTTAGTGTTACTATATTTTATGTGTGACCTAAGACAATTCTTATCCTTCCAATGTGGCCCAGGGAAGCCAAAAAACACCCCTGCCTTGATGGATAAGCAACTATGCTGGCATCCTGGGGTAGTCAACACAGAGTTGGCATGAACCAGGGCCAGAATGCCAACCAGCTATTGGCTGCTGTTCTCCCAGCAGTGTAACACTTGCCTAGGTACAAGACAACCTAGGCAGCTGCCTACAGCTGGAGCCAAGACAGCTGAAGGGATTGCACTCACCTGCAGTTGCATCTGCCACAGCTGGCCTCTCTGCAATGAAACAACTCCAGGTTAGTCAGCCAACAGTGAACACGTGTGCAGCTCAGAGTCCTTGCCCTCAAAACGTGGTATCTTAGGCCTGAGCCACAGAAACAACAGCAGACAATAAAACCAATAGCTTATCCTTGTTTAGCTTTGTTTTCACCTCTTGTTACTCATACACCACGGGAGTTCAACAGTAGCAAAAGAGTCGATTAAACGAGTATCCGGGAGCCTGGCTCTATCGCCTAACTAGTGTCTAGCCAAATGACACTGGGCGAGTAACCTCTCTATACCTCAGTCTCCTCATTTGTAGAATGGAGATATTATATTACAGGGTCTTTCTCTGTCACCCAGGCTGGAGTGCAATGGCACAATCATGGCTCACTGCAGCCTCCACTTCCTGGGCTCAAGTGATTCTCCCACCTCAGCCTCCTGAGTGAGTAGCTGGGACTACAGGCGCGAATACACCAAGCTGAATGGGGATATTACTAATAGTACTCTGTACGTAGGGTGGTTGGGAGGCTTAAGTGATATAAGCTAACCCCCAGGATAATGTCTGGTATAGTGTGGGCACTCTGTAAACACCTGAGGAGCTACATTCCAAAAAAGGCTCAGATGGTGAATATGAGTGAGTAAAAAGGGAAAAGTTATCCAGTGAGAGAAATGGGCAGTGAAGAGTGGGAAAACTAGATAGTCCAATATAAGACTTCCTGAAACACAATAAAAACAGCACTTAGAAAAATAACTGCAGTATTGGATATGAGGGGAATTGGAGGCAGTAGTCATGCCAAGACCTCAACTGATTAAGAGCAATAACCAAAATGTTAGGCCGGGCGCGGTGGCTCACACCTGTAATCCCAGCACTTTAGGAGGCCGAGGTGGGCGGATCACGAGGTCAGGAGATAGAGACCTGGCTAACACGGTGAAACCCCGTCTCTACTAAAAATACGAAAAATTAGCCGGGCGTGTTGGCGGGTGCCTGTAGTCCCAGCTACTGGGGAGCCTGAGGCAGGAGAATGTCGTGAACCCGGGAGGCGGAGCTTGCAGTGAGCCGAGATCTTGCCACTGAACTCCAGCCTGGGTGACAGAGCGACACTCCGTCTCAAAAAAAATAACCAAAATGTTTGCACAAATGATAATAAATATTTCTACATAGTCACTATTTTTTTTTTTTTTTTTTTTTAACGGAGTCTTGCTCTGTTACCAGGCTGGAGTGCAGTGGTGCTATCTCGGCTCACTGCAACCTCCGCCTCCCGGGTTCAAGCGATTCTCCTAAGTTTTGTATTTTTAGTAGAGACGGGGTTTCACGGTGTTGGCCAGGACGGTCTTCATCTCTTGACCTCGTGATCCGCCCGCCTGGGCCTCCTAAAGTGCTGAGATTACAGGCGTGAGCCACTGTGCCCGGCCTCACAGTCACCATTATAATTTATATAAGGCTAAGATCATACCTTTTTCCAGCCATCCCCAAATTTCACTCCTAACTTCCTCCAAATAATTTAGAGAAACAGGAAAATGAGTAGAGAGGGTTCATTGTTCGCTGGGTCTAAAAACAGATCTAAAAATAGCGTGCCCCTTTCAAGGCTCAGGTTAAAGGGGCTGACTCAGTTCCACCGGACATTTGTTCCTCACAAACCTTCCAAAGTCCCTGCCCCTGGCACTGGGAGATGGAGGCTGTCAGAGTCAGGCTGTAGGGGACTCCCTAGGGAGAAGAGGGACGGTACAAAAACAGGGGACGACTCCGGGACCCAGGTCTCTTTCCGATGCCCTCCAAGTTCGGGGTCACGAGGGGACGAACCCCAATTTCATCCCGTGCCCCGGCAGAAGCCACCCTACATTGCTTCTTTCCCCAGGCTGGGAAACCTCCAAGGACTCTCCCCTCGGGGTCCTTACTCACGCGCACGTGTTCGGAGCTCCGCAGGGCGCAGCAGCACTGGCAGAGGCCGGAGGGGAAAGGGCAGCCGGGAGCCGAGGGGAGCCCCGCCCCGGGGCGGCTTATGGGCGTGGCTTCGGTGGGCGGGGCCCTTGACCCCGCCTAGGAAAGGCCGGGCTTAAAAAAAAAAAAAAAATGGGAGTGCGGTGGCAGAGGTGAACCTGCTTCTTATAGGAGAGAAGGGCTGGGGTCTGAGCAATGGCTGCGTCTGTTGGACTCCCAATCCATCTCTTGAGTAGAAGGGGCGCATAGTTCACAGCTGCTCAGGAGAGAATCTGTGTGTCCTAGTGGAGCCAGGCTTCCTGCCTGCCCACACTACGCGCCCCCGGAACTCTGGTTCCCCTCACGAGCGTGGCGCCTTTCCGTTGCTGCAGGCCCAGCCCACGCTTTTGCGCTTCCCACGCATATCCTTTTTCTGACTTTCTGCGGCAATGCTGTCATTCGGCTAATGGATCGCCCACCCACGCAGGTCACCTTGGTCCACGGTCTTCGGGATCTTTCCAGGAGGTTTTCGAATAGATTAAGCCAGTCACTCCTACTGCTTACCTCTGCAGGACCGGCATCCCTAGTGCCCTGCAGTGGGATTTTTCGCTGAGCTGCAGTAACTGAAGAACACTGGCTTTCTCTGCTAGACTTGTCCTCCACCATGGCACAGGCAGGCAGAGTCCTTGGTCAGGACAGACTGCCTGCAAGGCTACCAGGATTTCTTTGGAACACTAAAACTTCCCTCTCCCACTGGCTAGAGTCCATATGATTCCCCTGGGGTCCAGAGTGGAAAGGCCTACAAACAGTAATTCCTAACTCCGTGCTCTAATTCTCCCAAATTCCTTTCTGATACCCGCCCCTCAACAACAATAACCTATCCTGTGGGTTTTGCTGATCTCTTCCACCAGCACCATTGCCAGATGAACCCCTGGCAACCAAGCCACTGCCCTTGGCATCTGCCAACATGTTTCATTGTCTATTTCCTCAGCTCTTTCATAAAGAAAAAGGTATGCTTCTTGTGCACCCTAACTCTTGCAGACCTCTCCTAAGAAAGCCCAGAGCCCCAGTTTGATTCCAGCAAGAGACCCTAGGCTGTAGGGCCAAAGAGCCACTGGAGGGGAAGTGGTGAGCTCAAATCTTCCCCAGTTTTGATGGAGTTGGACACAGGCTCTGGTTGGGAAAAGGCTTCCATAAATACAGTAATTTAAAAAGTCACGTGATCAGTGCTGGGCTGGTAGGCAGGAGCTCTGCTTTGCAGTTAAATAGGAATGTGGCTGAAGACTGCTGCCATAATCAATGCCTACATCCGGCTGTCACAGCGTGTTCATAAAGAAAGGTTATGAGAGCTATAAAACCAGGCAGATTGGGTGGGTAATTGTCCTGCTGAGCTCTACTAAAGGAGAAATTGCATTGGCATCTCATATATTTCGCTTTCTTTCCTTCCAAACACACAAAGTGGAGAGGGCAGAGCTACTCTGAAGGTTCATGAAAAAGGAAAGATGAGGGTGTATGTGTGTGTGAATGTGCATGTGTGCTTTCAAAGAAGAGACAAGAAGTAACTGAGGACAGGGAGCTATGCAGACCTTTGGGGAGAGAGGGACTAACAACCTGGTGATGATTGGATTCAGATTAGGCCAGGTAGAAGGCAGAATTTGTGTGGAAGGCCAGCCATTATAAATAAGGCTGTGAGGTGAGCCATATTTTCATGTCCTGTTGAACATGTGGTCAACTTTTTGGCCTATAGGTCTTTCAGTGACCTTTGGAGAAAAACCAAGATGATTTCTTTTGTTCCCAACTTAAAAATCCTTCATAGTCAGGCCGGGTGCAGTGGCTCATGCCTGCAATCCCAGCACTTTGGAAGGCCGAAGTGGGCGGATCATGAGGTCAGGAGATTGAGACCATCTTGCCTAACACGGTGAAAACCCACCTCCACTAAAAATACAAAAAAAAAAAAAAAAATTAGCCGGGCGTGGTAGTGGGTGCCTGTAGTCCCAGCTGCTCGGGAGGCTGAGGCAGGAGAATGGCGTGAACCCCGGAAGTGGAGGTTGCAGTGAGCCGAGATTGTGCCAATGCACTCCAGCCTGGGTGACAGAGCGAGACTCCGTCTCAAAAAAAAAAAAAAAAAAAAAAAAAATCCTTCATAGTCAACCTTTTTGACTTCCATCCTTTTAAATTTTGGATTAATTTTGGTGGGTTGATTTATGTTTTTTTTTTACCTGTAATATCAACTATTTTTCTACTTTTTTGTTTCCTCTTCTTCCAAAGACAAAATTGTAGAGAATGATAATAAAACATAAAAGGGAACATTTATGGAAAAAGAAAAATGCAGCTAGATGGAAAGTAAAGGACTAGGGGAAGTCCATTAGCTCTAAGTTTGACCTCATAACTTAAAGCTGACCTCAAGTTACACCAGGTCCCCAAGCTTCTTGCCTGCCTTTCCCTTTCTCCTACATCTCCTCTCATTCCTGCTTCCCTCCTTAATGACTTCTGCCTCTGTGACTACTCTTTTTCTCTCTCCCTAGACAGGAACCACCAGTAGAGAAATATCTAGTTGTTTGTTCAGTTAGTCAGTCACTCAGTCAATCGACATTTACGAAGCATCTATCATGTGCCAGACTCTGTTCAGATGCTACAGACAAAGTCAGAATAATAGAGATTCCTGCCTTCCTAAAGCTTACAGTCTAGTGGAGAAGAATGACAAGTACTATATGTATTCTTGGTCACATGTCAGGGGGCAGCTAACATAGTCTAAGGGGTCAGGAAGAGTACTAGAGAGAGCTGTATTCTCTCTGGCTGATCCTAAGGGCTTAGAGTAGAGGAGGGACCCCTCCTCCATCTGTGTACTCCTCTTGCTGCTATGTACTAGCTACCCAATTAGAGTGGGGCTCTTCAGTTGTCCTTGTTATTTCTCAAAAGCATAGTTGGATTGGCAAGGATGTGGAGAAATTGGAACCCTCATACACTGTTGGTGGGAATGTAAAATGGTGGTGCATCTGCTTTGGAAAACCGTCTGGCAGTTCCTCAAATGATTAAACATAGAGTTACTTTATGACTCAGCAATTCCAGTCCTAGGTATGCACCCAAGAGCAAATAAAGCCTGTCACACAAAAGCCTATACAGAAATGTTTATAACACCATTATTCATAATAGCCCCCCAAAACCAAATGTTCATTACTTGATGAATGGAAAAAAAAACAGTGGCATATCCACACAATGGACTATTACTCAGCCCTAAAAGGGAATGAATCCTGTAATCCCAGCACTTTGAAGACGCTAAGACAAGAGGATTGCTTGAGCCCAGGAGTTCAAGACCAGCCTGGGCAACATAAAGATGGGACCCCATCTCTACAAAAAATAAAAAAAAAAATAGGTGGGCATGGTGATACACAACTATAGTCCCAGCTATTTAGGAGGATAAGGTGAGAGGATTACTTAAGCCTGGGAGGTTGAGGCTGCAGTGAGCTGTGATCATGCCATTGCACTCCAGCCTGAGTGACAGTGAAACTCTGTCTCAAAAAAAAAAAAAAAAAAAAAAAAGAAGAAGAAGAGGCTGCACAGGTACATGGTGCACCTGTAATCCCAGCACTTTGGGAGGCCAAGGTGGGGGGATCACTTGAGGTCAGGAGTTTGAGACCAGCATGGTGAAACCCCGTCTCTACTAAAAATACAAAAAATTAGCTGGGTGTGGTGGCTTGAGCCTATATTCCCAGCTACTTGGGAGGCTAAGGCAGGAGAACTGCTTGAGCCAGGGAGGCGGAGGTTGCAGTGAGCAGAGATGGAGCCACTGCACTTCAGCCTGGCAACAGAGCAAGACTCTGTCTCACAAGAAAAAAAGAAAAAAATGAATCACGTACTGATTCATGCTACAACATAGATGGACCTTGAAAACATTAAGATAGGCTGGGCACGGTGGCTAACACCTGTAATCCCAGCACTTTGGAAGGCCGAGGCGGGCAGATCACGAGGTCAGGAGATCGAGACCATCCTGGCTAACATGGTGAAACCCCGTCTCTACTAAAAAATAGAAAAAATTAGCCAGGCATGGTGGTGGGCACCTGTAGTCCCAGTTACTCGGGAGGCTGAGGCAGGAGAATGGTGTGAACCTGGAAGGCGGAGCTTGCAGTGAGCTGACATCATGCCACTGTACTCCAGCCTGGGCGACAGAGTGAGACTCCATCTCAAAAAAAAAAAAAAAAAGAGAGAAAGAAAGAAAACATTAAGATAAAGAAGCTGGTCACAAAATATCACATATTGTTTGATCCCATTCATATGAAAGTCCAGAATAGGAAAATCTGCAGAGACTGGAAGGAAAATCTGTAGAGACAGGAAGTAGATTAGGGGTTGCTTAGGGTTGAGTGGGGGACAAGGTGATAGCTAAGGGGCTTGGAGTTTCTTTTTGATGTGATGAAAATGTTCTAACATTGTGGCAATGGTTGCACGTAACTGAGTATAATAAAAACCATTGAATTGTACTTTTTTTTTTGAGACAGAGTTTTGCTCTTGTTGCCCAGGCTGGAGTGCAATGGCACGATCTTGGCTCACTGCAACCTCTGCCTCCCGGTTTCAAGCAATTCTTTCAAGCAATTCCTGTCTCAGCCTCCCCAGTAGCCGGGATTACAGGCACCCACCACCACGCCCGGCTAATTTTTGTATTTTTAGTAGAGATGGGGTTTCATCATATTGGTCAGGCTGGTCTCGAACTCCTGACCTCAGGTGATCCACCCGCCTTGGCCTCCCAAAGTGCTGGGATTACAGGCGTGAGCCACCACACCCAGCAAATTGCACTCTTTAAATGTGTAGGTTGTAGGGTGTGTGAATTACATCTCAATAAAACTGTTTAAATAACAACAATGAAAAGTATATGGGGCCGGGTATGGTGGCTCACGCCTGTAATCCTAACATTTTGGGAGGCCAAGGTGGGAGGATCACTTCAGCCCAAGAGTACAAGACTAGCCTGGACAACATAACAAGATTCTGTCTCTATATATTAAAAAATAAATACAATACAATAAGATAAAATACAGCCGGGTGCATGGTTCACGCCTATAATCCCAGTACTTTGGGAGGCTGAGGTGGGCAGATCACGAGGTCAGGAGATCGAGACCATCCTGGCTAACACGGTGAAACCCCATCTCTACTAAAAATACAAAAAATTAGCCAGGCATGGTGGCAGGCGCCTGTAGTCCCAGCTACTAGGGAGGCTGAGGCAGGAAAACAGCATGAACCCAGGAGGAGGAGTTTTCAGTGAGCCAATATTGGGCCACTGCACTCCAGCCTAGGCAACAGAGCGAAACTCCATCTCAAAATAAAATAAAAAATAAAATAAAATAAAATACACACACACACACACACACACACATATAAAAGAAAGCAGCATACTTG